CTCTGCTGAGTTCTGAGCATTCTGAGTTTTCATTCCTAACTGAAATCCCAAGGAGTTATTCCTTCAATGGGCTTCCCTGGGGAAATACATAATGCTTTGTTTCCCAGAGTCCTGTTTGACACAGTTGTCTGTACACAGAGTTTCTCGTTGACTTGAATGTGTGTGCTTTGGATTGTATGAAACTGAGTCAAATAATTCAATGGGGAGGAAAAAAGGGTCCCTTCAGAACTGACAATGACAATTTAGAAATTGAAACTTATCTCCTTTGTGGGGGATGAAAGGAGAGGTAGTATGAGAGGGAATAAAGAGTGAGCCTCCTATAATAGGATTCTCAGTTTACATTTTCATACTTCTGCCAAGATAATCTTTCTAAAAGCACAGTTGGACCATGTCACTGCACTGGTTCCCCATTAACTTGGCTAGGCATTTAGACCCCTCCCTTTCCAGGCTGCAGCCTACTTTTCCAGGCTTATTGCATTGAGGTTCCTTTTTTTCTCAGAGTCTACATTCCAGCCAAACTGTTATACTTATTGAGAGCAGAGATAACATTTTGCATGGTACCTGGTGCACAAATAAATGGTTAATAAAATACTTGTCAACTGACTGTTTCCCAAATGTATCACTCTGTTTGCCACCTCCATGCCTTTGAATAGGCTGTCCCAGAATGCATTCCTTTTTTTTTTTTTAACCTTTTCCTTTTAGAAATCCTAGCTTCTGGTGAGGCTTAGCATATGTTCCATCTTCTAAGGAAAACTTTTCCTACTTACCTTTGTTGTTATTAGCCTTACTCTCCTGCCTTAAATTTGCATGTTTGCATCACTCAAAAGAATGTAATAACCTTGTGGGCAGGTATTGCTTTTTGTTTTGTGTTTGTGATCCCTAGCACTGTCTTGCATATAGAGATGCTTAATAAAAAACAGTCAGACTAGATCAATTTGGTAGGAAGGGAAACAGTAGAAATAGAACAGCTACTCTGTAATTCAGTAAAATATCAGTAAGTAGATTTACTATTAAGGGATTATAATTATATTACTCCCAGCATATTATAATATTATATTATATTATATATTATTAATAATATGTAATATATAACATATAATTATACAATATTACTAACATTATATAATAATATAATAAATTATATATAATTTATATAATAATATACATAATAAAATACATATAAATATAATTACTCCCAGAGAGAGGTAGGAAACATACGGGTACATGCCAACTGAACTAGGAGCCAATCAATCTGGTGTCTAGCCTTGGTTCTTCAGCTAACTACATTCATAGCCTTGAGTAAATCACAACTTTTCTGGGACTCAGTTTCCTCATTTTCAAAATTAGAAGGTTGGATCAAATGACTATAATGTCTCTTTTAGGTCTAAATGTGTGGTCATATGTTCTATAAAAAGAGCATTGGGACAGATGATCTCTAAGGCTTCTGGTGGATGTGAGCAGGCTGTCCCTTATGATTAACATGGAACTTTGAAGAAGAATAGAATGAAGAGATGTTAGGGAAGATGTGATAGGAAGAGACGATGGGCTGCCATGTGACAAAGACGAGAGGTAACAGGCAGAAAGTCAGTGGGTTCTACTGGTACTTTCATAATGTCAGGAGAAAATGAGGAAGTGTTCTAGCACATTGAGTGGACACACTGTGTTGAACTTATGGTCGAGTAACACAGGATAGGCAGGCTTATCAAGCAGGGCTGTCCACCTGGCAGTTTTTTCCCACGTCCAGATCAGGTGAAGTTTCCTGTGTTGAATCAAATTAAGCTCCTTTCCATGAATTCTCTTAAGTTTTAGTTTTCAGCCAACTCCCCTCAGAACCCAAAAACTTTGGTTTTCACTGGAGGAAACATCCAGATGGATAAGTTCACAGATCTATTTGAGAATCTGATTTTTTTTTCCTTTTAAAATAATTTATACATGTATAGAGAGCCATCCTTAGAGTTAGAAGCTCTGTGTTTAGGTTTTGCCTCTGACATATTTGGTTACGTAAGTTAATCCCATAGTACAACTTCCAAACCTCCAGATATAGATTTACTGTAAGGGAAGTAATTGTATATATGCACACACACACACACACACACACACACACACACACATACACACACACAATTTAGCTTCTCTTAGTAGGATTGCAAGAGGGCCACATCTACATGGACATGGTACAAGCTTTCTGATGATTGCACCTGGGATGGGAAATGGCAGCTCCTTACCACCCCACACAAGCATATAGCTACCTCACCAACACATTTAATGTGAGTAATATATTGCCACCAGGAAGGATAGCTCTTATTCATAATTTGCTTTTAATTTTAAGATCACATTTCTTCACAACAACCTTCTCAAGTTCGGAATGCAAATATTACTGTCTCCATTCTACAAATGAAGAAACTGAAGTTCAGAGGTGATATGACTTTTCTGAAATCATGAAATTAGTAAATGTCAGAGCCAAGATGGAAGCCAGGTCTTTTATCTCCAGATCTAATTTCTTTTTCTCCTGTACCATGTTGCCTCATGTTTAAGCCAGATATAAATGGAGGAAAGTTGAAGTGAGAAGTAGCATTCAATTGGGATACTTTCAATCAGTCAACCAATCAATAAGCACTTATTAAACCATTACTGTGTACCAAATACTATGCTAAGTTCCGGGAATATGAAGAAAGGCAACAATATGGGCCATGCCCTCAAGGAACTTCAATTCTAATGGGGAACACAATGTGCAAACACACAGCTGTGTTCATATAAGATATGTGTGAAGGAGATATAATCTCAGAGGGAAGGCACTAGCAATGAGGGAATCACAAACAGCTTTGGTACAAGGTAGGGTTTGAGGTAGGGTGGCTGGGTGGCACAACGGTTAGAGTAGAGTGTTTAGAGTCAGGAAGACTCATCCTCCAGAGTTCAAATGTGTCTTCAGACACTTACTAGCTGTGTGACCCTGGGCAAGTCACTTAACCCTGTTTGCCTCAGTTTCCTCATTTGTAAAATGAGCTGGAGAAAGAAATGGCAAACCACTTTTACATCTTTGCCAAGAAAACTCCGAATGAGGTCACGAAGAGTCAGGCATGACTGAAAAAGATGACTGAACAGCAACGGGATTTGAGCTGAGTCTTAATGGAGGTCAGTGAAGCCAGGAAGAACATTCTGAGAATGGGGGATAGACAGTGAAAGGACATGAAGCTAAGAGATGAGGTGTTGAGTTTAAGAAACAGTCAGAAGGTCAAAGTTGCTTGACATTACAATTCGTAGAGGGGAGTAGAGTATTAAAAGATTCAAGTAGGAAGGGATTAGGTCATGAATGGCTTAAAAGCCAAATAGAACATTTTACATGTGATCCTGGAGGTAATAGGGAACCACTGGATTTTATTGAGGCGGGAAGAGATATGATCAAATCTGGCTTCCACAGAACCAAGCATTTATGCTTTGACTCTCTGGGGAGGGTCATATATACTCTGGCCCCTTGATAAAGGGCATACAGCCAATGGGAACTATCCCTTGAACTTCATGAGTAAGGAAAGGGAAGGATTTCTTCTCTCCTCTCCCTCCCCAGCAACATCTATGGTGATTATTCTCCTCTATTCCCTAAGAGGAAATCCAATGGAGAGTTGGCATTGACTGCATCCCAACAAAAAGCCCACATCCAAAGAGACTCTAAGTTGTCTCTCCTCTCTTATGGCCCATTGAGAAGGAGGATCACACTTGCCTAGTTGCCAGTCCTTTTTAGCATAACTCCACACACACCCCCCACCCAGGGTCCCAAGACATCAACTAAAACCCTCTGGCAATGGATTCTCTTCAGCAACGGGCCAGAGCTCATGTTTTGCTCTTCATGGAGCCAAAGCACCCATGCCTAGCTCTGTGAGGATCACTCCAATCCAAGCTCTGGCTATGCAAACATAACCAGTGTCGTGTGTGTGTGTGTGTGTGTGTGTGTGTGTGTGTGTGTGTGTGTCTGTGTGTGTGTGTTTGGTGGCAGAGAAGGGATGTCAGGTGACTGACATGGTAAAATCAAAAATAGCTGACCACCAAAGCTGACACCAAGCCTCCATCCATTCATCGATTTATAAGTGTTAATTCAATGACTGGTGCATCCAGTTTGGTGCTGGGAACTGGAAAGAATTCTAAAGTAGTATGAAACGTTGGCCTCGACCTCAAAGCATTTATAAGCTAGTTAGGGAATAAGACTTACACATGTGAAGCAGTGGCCATTCAAAGAAGGGATGTAATCCAGAACTGTGCAGTCTAAATTAGGAGTGTTAACAGGGTCAGGACATTGGTGAAATCTAGAGCCTTTAGAGGGAGACTACATAGACCTTGAAGGAGAAGTAGAGAGGACACAGGAAAATATTCCACATGGGGGCAACAGCATGAGGGAAAGGCATGGAGTCATGCCATGGCCAGACGCCTTCAGGACTGTTCTCCTAACCTCTCAGCTTGTGAGCTCCTATGGAATCCTGAGTGGCAGGGCCATGCTGGGCACTTACATCCGGCTAAGTATTATTATCATCATTCCATGTGCGCTGGGGTCGGCCCTGAGCAACAATTGGGGCCATTTACACAGAAGCCTGGAAACAGGATCCAAATCACAGGTCCACCTGCTCCAAATACCTCACTCCCCCTGCAGTTAACATTTTAGTACAAAATGAAGTGACTAATGAATCTGGCCCAGTGTAAATCCCCAGACAAAATCCCAGCTTGGGGTCTGTGTCTAGACATCCAGCACCAAGGGCAATTTGTGCTTCCAATATCCAGTGCCTTATCAGCTTGGAGGAAAGTAGGTTTGATGGAGTGATAGGGGAAGGATAATGCACCCACCCACCCACCCACCCACACACACACACACACACACACCTCCCAGACACAATGACTGGGGAATGAGGATGCTCCTTGATAATGTTTGCATTAGTAAATGGAAAGATCTTAACAGTGTTGTTATATGGCTCTAATCATTCAGAAGGACTGACCTGAAGGTTTCTTTCCTCTTGCAGGCTGTGCTTTGTGAAGCTAAAGCTCTTAATGATAGCCATAGAGTACAAGTCCGCCAACCGAGAGAGCCGGTAAGTTGCTCAGACTCTGGGGCTGTCACCGATGATGGTGAACGTGTATGCCCATACTGCTCAGACCATTCCTTCCTAAATGGGATTTGTTTTCTTTGAAGCCTGATGCAGCCTTTTCTGATATACTCCAGAACATGTTTATTGAACGCCATTAATGCCACTCTTCTTCCCCAACCTATTTCCTTATAATTAATAAACTCTGGGCAGAGGGGTAGATTTAGCACTGGCTCTGGAGTCCAAGGATATGGGTTCAAATCCTAGCTTCAGTGCTTACAGCCTACGTGTCAGACAAATCACTTTACTTCCTCTTATGTGACTAGATGACCTTCAATGGCCCTCCAAGTCCTCCATGTATGATCCTCTTTGCCATGGACCTTCTGACTTCCCAAAGAATATAAAACACCCCCTACTCTCAGTTCTTTTAGGGGAGAGGAGAGCACATACTGAAGCTCTCTGCCCACTTACAAGTGACTCAGCCTTTCTACCCTAAAGCCAAACACCCCTGGCAAGCCTTCTCCCGTCCCAGCTCTCTTTCAACGGGAAGGGACGCACACGTTCTACCTCTAGGAAACAGCAGATGGGCTCCGGGCTCTTCTGCAGCAGGCAGGGGGCAGAGTGGTTATGGGAGAGATCTGCTCTCTTGATATCCAAATTACAAGCAGCCTATTGTGTGCCATATGCGCTTCTCCCGGTTCAGCCTGAATCCAGGTGGCAGAATATCAGTTTCATGTAAATTAGCCAGGAGAGCTGCACTCAAAGTCAGGCTGCTCTCTTTATTTATTTATTTTGCTCTTAATTATGTGCTAATCAGACTGATGGAGGGAATAGGTCTGGCTGGGATAGATAACACCCAAGTCAATATATGATTCAGTGCAGGGAGAGAGCATGACACACACTGGCTTGTCTCTATTATATTGAAGACATATTAAGCTAACAATCTATGTCATGGAAATGGCATTGTGTGTTGGAGAAATAATATAGATGTTTCTCTGGTTCCCCCACCTTTCTCAACAGTTTTTGGAAGAATCAGAACACAAATGGCCAAGATTCTAAGGCTTTTGTCCAATGGGACGGTGCTCATTATTTCCTTGCCAGAGCTCACCTACCTTTTTGTAGAAAATCTGGTTGCTCCTCAGCAGGAAGGGAATTCACAGTATGGTCCATTCTGAACTGCTGAGCAGGACAGACCACAAAGTATAAGTCAATCCCTCTTCCTCACCAGAACATTTGTTGGGATTTCCTAGAAGGGCATTTCAGTTCCAAGAATTGTTTGGACTCATGATGGTGTCATCTGATTAACAAGTTTTCATTCTCTGGATAAATAGCCTAGTTATGTCAAGTTACCAAATGCAGAGTCTGTTTCTCTGTGCTGGAAAACACTGGATTGGAAAGTGGTCAATCCACATGTTTTTGGTTGTCTTTACCATCTGATCAGATTGCATTTCAGGGCTGATCTGATCAATTGTTATGATGTGTTTTTAAAAAATCCAAATCAACCAAAAATGGTAGATTTGGGGGCCACATGTAGAATTGGCCTTGGCCTTTCTTTTTTTTTTTTCCTAGACTGGCAAAGTGAAGCATGATTATTTGCAAAAATAAAATGATTGATGTCACCCTGCACACAGGTTGAATCGTTTCCAGATTTAAAAATGCATTTGGCCATAATTTCACAAGGAGTTCCCTGTGTTTGTATAGAAAACGTTATCCTTTCTAGCATTTTTGCAAATGATATTCTTCACATTACCAACTTTTTCACCTGTCAAGTGGGTAAACCTTTGTGTAAATTTCTGGTGTTATCTCCCTCCCACTTCTCTGCACTCTTCAGAAAAGTGAAATGTGAAATGCTGTCCATCACCCTGAGCACTGTTTCTGTACTAATTTTTTGGCTGGAAGTTGCATCCTGTGCCCTGGCTGGTCAGTTCACAAATATGTACATTTGGTCACAAGGGGTGAAAACTACCTCTGATGGCAAATTATCTCTACTGGAAAAAACACTCAGACCTTGACTTCCTAATAGTTTGGTCAATGGACACAATACTTATAAGAGAAGAATAATAAAGTATTATTATTCCCTGGAGACTAGTTTTCCTGAATGGACCTTCATATTTATTCCTCAATTGGAAATGTTTTCAACAAAGACATCTTTTTTTTTTTTCAGTGAACAAATGGCCTTATTTTTGGAAAAGTAGGGAAAAACTTGTTCCATTTTGTTTTTGCTTTCTGTATGCAACAACAGCCTTTAATTCTCAAATATGGCTTGGTCTCAACTGTGGAAGTACTCCCTCTCTTAAGGAAAAGGTATGCTTAGGAGAAGGGAATGTGGATCAGTGCATCTGAAAACGGAGGCATTCATCAGCACACATTAGCCATAGAGGATGTGCAAAGCTATAAATTAAAATAACTCCTGATAAAGTTTTTCTTTTCCTTTTAATTAACCCTTGCTCTAATGAGACATTAAGATTGAAAAGTTGCTTCCCTCCACTTTTGTGCCCTCACTTGTACCCCATGTTAATTCCTTTGTTTCTCCTTTTTTTCTCCCCCCCCATCTCCCCGACTCCCAACTTAGCATCATTCCATATTTATTTGTCCTTACTCTTGGCAAGACTGCTTGTTTTTGTATCATATTCTTCAAAGAATTTGAAACGAAGATTGTGTTTTTTCTTTAAGTTTTTCTTCTGGTGTTGGTTGATTTCTTACCAAAATGTTTGATTTAAAATTTTTTTTTCTTGTCATTTGCAGAAGCCGAAAGCGGTATGCACTCTTCGTTAACTTTCCTTCCAACCTCAATCCTCTACCTTCACTCCTTCTAACTCCAGGACTAACCCTTTGTCAAGAATTCAGGAAGATAACACCTACCTTTCTCTGTATATATAAATATGTGTACATATATACATATATGTATATAATCACCGTTGTCTGGTGCATATATATATGTATATATGTATATTTATATACATGCCCCCTGGTTATATATCTCTGAATCAATGGTAGCATTTGGTGTTCTGGTTTTATTTGTTAGTTTTTGTGGATTATGCACTAACTTCTTTGCAGGAAACCTTAAAAGGTGGGAGGGAGGGAAGCAGGAAGGAGAATAATCTGATTTTCAGTCGACACCATTGGTGTGACTGATATTTCACTTAAAAAGATTTTTTTCTTTTTAGCATTTTTTTCTGTCTGTTTTCGTATTGTGTTGATGTGTCCACCAGATTTCGTGACGCCATTTTGTCTGCATACCATATCCACATTCCCAGTGATCTCCTCTCTGTATCTTTTTTCAGAGTCTACCTTCTGTAGTATAGTCATGTCTCCTTACCCACATAACAGAGACCAAGTCCTTGTTCTTGTTTTGCTGATAAAGTTTAAAGCAATTTAAGACCTGTACAGTACTCAGTAGAGCCACGGTACTCTTCTCCCAAAGTCTCTTTGGAGAATGATTTCCATAATTGTTTCACTGAAAGAGTGCCATTGATCACAAAAAATATGTGTCTTTTTTTTTTCTCCTTGTGTGTTTGACATATTTCTGAATGTGACATTTTGAGTCTCACCATTTGACTGTGTCCTGTTTTATTGCTGTTTGGTGTTGCATGAAGCATGATCAGAAACTTTAGGTGACCTTCTTTCCCTCCTTTCTTGGTTAACCTTTTCAATCTAATTGCTTTTAACTGTCTTCTCTGTGATGCTTTTGTTGAAAACATATCATTATGTCTTCCCCCTACTCATCTTCTCAAGCTTCATCTTCCTCACTGGTTTGTACTTCATCTTATATTTATTTGTGTGTGGACATGTGGGTTCATATGTTTGTCTTGCCTTCTTCCTTGAATCTCCTAATTCTGTGGTTTTGACTGGTTGTGTGGAAATAGAGGTGGCTTCCTGTCAGTTTGGCATTAGTTACATGACCCAACTGCAGAGAAGTTACTGCAACAAGTCGAATCTTCCACGACGTGCCATCTTTGCACCTCTACTGCTGGCTTTTGAGTCTTCTTAACGTGCAGTGAAGGCATGTTGTGCTGGTGAAGGCATGCTTCATGTCCACAAGTAGGATGGGCTTGCTCCCAGAACAAAATACCCAACATTCCCCCGATTAGAGAAAGTATTTCCGTTTTTATGATTCTTTCCCTAAGAACAATTGAATATACATACACACACACCACACTTCATTTTTAAAAACTATGACAAACTAAATCACTCTCTACCTATGTTACCTATACTTGGGTCACACAAACTGGGAGCAACCTTTGTTATCACATTTGTGTGTCATTATTTGACTGTGGCATGGAACGTCAACTTGTCTTCCATCTCAATCCTTTTTTTTTTTGAATTGCAAGTAAAAGTATGTGTCCAGGTTTACAATAGAAATAACAAAACTGAGAAGAAAGTAGTAGTTGCCATGTGGTAACACATTATAAGCCTCAGGGAAGGCTGTAAGTTGGCTTCTCAGGACAGCAGTGTGTGCCCTGCCACTTCTCTCCAGCTGCTTTCCATCCTAGAAGTAAAACTGATTCTAATAAAGTGCCAGCCTCTAGTAGATGCCCCTGGCACAATGCACCGATAGAGGTTACTAGTCCGGGTAAAGCTTTCTCTGGGGAGGCCATGAACCAACCTTAGATGGTTGCTGTTTACTTTTGCTTTTTGCTTGCTCTAGTTACCATTAGCATATGGTTGTTAATATGCATATTTCCATATACTATAGTACTGAAGACTCTATTATCATGCAGCTTGTTAGCATGTTATATTACCTGGGGGAATGGCGCAACACATTTGCAAGGAGGATTATACTATAATGACACTTACCCATCATATATATTCAGGGTAGCAAGAAAGCTGTTTCTTTTCTTTTTTTTTTCTTTCATTCGTACTTTTACTGATATTTCCCCTCCCAATCATTGCCAGTCCTTAAGAGCTATAGATCTGTATAATTGGTACAATTTTTAGGAACATGATTAATAACTTTCATGGAGTTCCTCTGCTTACATGATAAAAAAAGACACAGATAAAGGCAA